GCACAGTGCAAGGTATGAGTTAAGCTCTCTTTTTTCATACATGGGTGGCCAGTTGTGCCAACAACAGTCCTTTGTTCATTGAATTACCTTTGCACCATTGTTAATATCAACTGATCATCCATGTGTGAATTTACCAGGAGGCCTAGTGGAGTAGTGGTTATACATTAAGATGATAACCACAAGGTCAGTAGTCTCAAACCACCAGTGGCTCCATGGTAGAAAAATGAGGCTTTCTGCTTCCATATAGAGTTACAGTCAGGGAACCCCCCAGGGGAAGTTCTACTCTGTCCTATAGGGTTGCAATGAGTTGGCGTTGACTTCATGGCAGTGAATTTGGTTTTGGTTCTGGTGTGGATTTATTTCTGAGGCTCTTTTCGCTGTTCATAGCATCTTTTAAATTTATCTTCTTTTCAACTCACCCCCTACTTGTCGAGTCAATTCTGACTCATAGCAACCCTGTAGGACAGAATATGACTGCCCCAGTGCATTTGCAAGACTGCCACGTCTTTCTTCTGCAATACAGGCTATTGCAGCTTAACATCTGCCTCCAGCTTACATCTGACCCATGGACTGGAACTAGACTGGACTTATGTACTTCTACAACTATGTGAGCCCTTTCTTGATACAAATCTTTAAAAACATATATACACATACATCTGCAAGTGTCACTGGTTTTGTTTCTCTAGAGGACCCAGCTTAAATAGTTTTCTAAATCATCTCTAGATGGTCAGGTCTTTAAAGATAGAGATTGTGCCTTGCAGCCAGAGATCATGCTCCATGAAGGCATATAAAAGGATGAATGAATGAATGAATGAATGAGCACATGCACAATTCATTGAATTTTCTTCAAACCTTGATAAGATCAGCTGAGCATATATGTATGGATTTACAAGGAGCTCTGGTGGTGTAGTGGTTACACATTGGGCTGCTAACCACAAAGTCAGTAGTTCAAAACCACCAGCCACTCTTGGGGAGAAAGATGGGGCTTTGAACCTCTGTGAAGAGTTACAGTCTCAGAAACCCACAGGCTGTTTCTACCTTGTTCTGTAGGGTCGGTATGCGTTGGTTTTTCGGCAGCTCAGCCATATCCTTCTCTACATTGAAGACTGCCAATGACCGAGGCAACAATCTAATGTGATCTGAACGCACAGAAAGTCTCCGTCAAGGCCAGAGGAAGCACTGTGTCCAGGAAAACACATCCCTGGCAGAACTTAGACTGACTCGTGGCCAATCACCTTTGCTGTTTAGATGCTGCTCTGGGACCAGCCGTAGAAAAACTCAAGTTTACAGGCTGTGCATGCTCTGGAGTCTCAGCCAGAGAGGAGGGAAGTGCCAGGATTGTGAGGGGAAATGAAGGTCTGGAGACAGGAGGTTAATTACCAGGTGTTAAAAAATGTCAGGGCCGGAGCAGGAAGAGCTAGCCGAAATGCTGGAATTCATGTTGCGGTTGCTGGGCAGAGCCCAGGCTCAGGAGCTGGCAGAGAAGATTAAGCAGCAGGTGATGGGGTGTATGGAAGGGAACTCAGAACATCCTACTGGCTCAAGGTGACCTTTCTTTTCTTTCCATTCTTAAAGGACAATCACTTATGCTCTCGTTAAAACGGGCCACAGAAAAGGAGGCAAACAGTGAAAAGTGGACATTCTCCAAGCTTCCCATCTTCCCTGGGGAGAATGAATAAGGCTGTCTTTGTTTGATTCCAGTGATTTAAAAAAATTTTTTTAGGACAAACACAACTATCTATCATTGATGTCCACAGGGTAGCCAATTTCTTTTTCCTGTCCCCTCAGGGAGTCTAGACCTATAGCCAAGTCTTTCCCAAGTTTCATATGCTTCAGGAAGCCCATCACATTATTTCACCTTAATTGACAAATCACTTCATCGATTCATTTTAGCTGAGAATGAAAATAATCTGGGGAAATGTAGTTTTTGTTCATTCATTTATTTTAACTTCTTACTTGTGATGGGTGAAGGTATACAGAGCAGATCAGTTGTCCATTCCACAGTCCATACACATATTGGTTCGTCTCATTGATTGCAACCCCCACAAGGTAGCATCACGGATCCCACACCCTCCTTGCGCTTTCTGTTTCTGTCCCTCCTTTGTTTCATAATCCTTTTGAAATTTACCTTTGGGCAGATGTTGGCCTTTTGATTTCAAATGATTGATTATTCTAAGGTGTGCGTACTCTGCTCGTGGTATTTTCCCCCTTCTAGATCTGTCCATTGTTTGACTGAAAAGCAATTGTTTTAAATGACAGATGACAGTCTACAGCCAGAGACTCTGACGGGACCTGTCTGGTGGAACTCACCACTGGGGTTTCTGAAGCTCCGCAGAAGTGCGCGTCATGCAGTCAACATGAAAGGCACCTGGTTCACACCCACCTCAGTTGCGATAGAATCACTTTCTTTTCTCTACACATGACTGATCAGGCCCCATACTTGGAGACTCAGATTAAGTTATTTTGGAGTGGTACCAAGGAATTGGTACTTCCCCCCCCCCAGAGCTCCCCAGACACAGAGAGGGTTGAAAATCCTTGCTGCTGGAAATTTCTGCAATCAAAGCTGGTGCGAGACATTGAGTGGGCGAGGACACCTGTCAGGGTTTATATGACAGGAGGCCAAGACAGACTGATCTTTCAAAATAATCATGGTGAAACACACAGAGCAAAATGGTCTGAAAGTATTATTTTTTTCTTGCTTAACTGATAAGCATTTACAATGTTGCACACATTTATATATGCCAGCATTTCCTACATACTTTGTAATGAAAGACCTAATTTCTACACATTCTCACCCACACATGTTAATTTCTGCTTTTCTGATACTAGTGACTCTGCACCTCATTGTGACTTTGATTTGCACTTTCCTAAGTAGCAATGTCAGGGACTTTGGGGGAAGACCTGTTGTTCAAACCCTCAGGGGAAAGACCAGTGTGACGTCATCCATCTTGAATTTGTCATTCCTGGCGTACTGAAACAGGAATAACAATCTGATTCAAATGGGCCAATACCACTCCATTTCAGCTCGCGAATGCCTGGGTTATTGATCTGTATGCGCTCCACTTTATTTCTTACAACTTCTAATTTTTCCAGATTTTATATTTCGTACATTCCATGTTTACTGCTTAATGAATGTGTACAGATGCTTCTTCTCATCAGCATGAATGTCCCAGAGCTTTTCTCCATCCACATCGTTGAGGGTGACTCTGCTTTGAGGAGACAGTGCTCCCCCAGTTGTATGTGTAGGGCCTCATCTTCCGGTACTGTATTAGAGACGCATCACTGTGAATCATAAGGCTTTCACTTGCCATCTTTCAGAAGTAGGTGGCCAAATCCTTCTTCCTACTCTGTCTTCATCTAGAAGCTCTGCAGAAACTTTTCCACAGTGAGTGACCCTGCTAGTGGTGGAAACATTAGTGGTCCAGCTTCCAGCATCAGAACAACCTGCAAAACACCATAGGACAACACGCTGACGGGTGCAACTTTTTGAAAGTTGCCAAGGATTTCATTTTACTTGGACCCACAATCAACGCCCATGGAAACAGAAGTCAGGTAATCAGAAGACATATGACATTGGCCAGGGGAGGGTGTGTGTGTGGGGGGGGGCGGTGAGGACTTATCTAAAGTGCTAAAAAGCCAAGATGTCACTTTGAAGATCGCGGTGCACCTGACCCAAGCCATGGTCTTTTTCGTTGCATTGAAAATCTGGACAATGAATCAGGAAGACTGGCGAAAAAGTGATGCCTTCGAATGATGGTGTTGCCAGAGGCTACTGGATATGCCCATGGACTGACAGATGAATGAGTACGTCTTTCTGCGAAGAAGTACAACCAGATGCTCTTCAGCTGCAAGGATGGTGAGCGAGCCTTCGTCTCATGTTCTTTGTGCTGGTGATCAGGAGGGCCTGGTCCCTGGAGAGACATCATGGTCGATAAAAAGCGGGATGGGAGGGATTGATCACAACGAGTTGAAATGTAGCAGTGATTGTATAGGACTGGACAGAGCAGTGCTACTTGCTTTTGTACATATGGTCACTATGAGTCCGAACCACCCCCAGGCCACGTCAGCAACAACAAATAGTCATGGCATTGTATATCTTTTCATGTGCTTATTGCCTATTTGTGTGTCTCCTTTGAAGAAATGTCCATGCAAGCTCTTTGTCCATCTTAAAATTAGGATTTTGTTGTTGAGTTGTAAAAATTCTTCATAAGTTCTGAATATTAAATCTTATAAGATGTATGGCTCTGAAATAGTTCCTCCCATTCTATAGCTTGTCTCTTTACCTTCTGGATACATTCCTTTGATAGTCCCTTTTTTTTTTTCATTTTGATGAAATCCAATTTATCTATATTTTCCATTTGAAATATGATTCTGATGTTATAGCTAAGAATTAATTGCCAAAATAAAGGTCCTGAAGTGTTACCTCTAGTGTTTTCTTCTTCTTCTTCTTTGTCTTGATCTTCTTTTTTCTTGAGCCTTAAAACTTTTAATTTATTTACTCATTTCAGTCATTTTATGGAGAACTCTTACAGATATTATAACAAACCATAATTCAATTAGATCAAGCATATTTGTATAAGTATTGCCACTATCATTTTCAACACATTTTCTTTCTTCTTGAACTCTTTGATATCAGCTCCCCATTATTCCCTCCCTCCCCCATTCCACCACCCAGGAACACTTATTCTTATATTAGAAATAGTTATTATTATTTTTCCTTGTGTTTCTTCTAAAAGGCTTCTGTGGTCTTAGCTTTAGGCAATGGATCCAATTGGAGTTCATTTTTGTATCCACTGTGAATTAAGAAACATATTTTGAGGACAATGACATTCTTCTCTATATTTGACAGAAGAACCTGCATCCAAAAGAGATTAAACCACCTGCCCAAGTGATCAGCCAGTAAGTGAGGAAGTTGGGTTTGGAAGCAAATCTAGCTGTAGAGTTTGGAGCTGGCAGCATTTGCATTTTACAGTCAAACTACCAGTGGCTTATCTTTGCTTCTTCAGCCAATGACGTTAACCGTCCTCCTTCCTGCGGGACCAGTGTGCAATGGCTTCAAACAGCAGCCTCCGCGGTAATGGACACAGCCTGTTGGCATGTAACGGCTTCCCTAAGAGACCTTGGGGACAGCCCCTTGCTCTTTGCTAGCTCTAGCCTGGACTATTTCTGCTGTCTCTAAACTGGGATTCGGGCTGCTTTAGGGAAACCCCAAGGCACAGTGGCTAGGGTCCATATTGCCCAGGTCATCTTGTTCAACCCCAAGAAGCTTCAAAACCAGGCGTGTGTGCTGGAGCATGTGATGACGCCAGGCCAAGTTCAAGTTCCCTGGGCACCAGAAGATCCACATATCCAAGAAGCGAGACTTCCCCAAGGTTAATACTGATAAATTTGAGGCATGGTGGCTGAGAAACGCCTCATCCTGGATGGTTGTGGAGTCAAATATATCTCCAATCGTGGCCCCTCGGATAAGAGGCAGGCCTTGCCTTCATGAAGGCCTTGGTCGCCTTGCGCCCTTCCTGACCTGCGTCCACCGATAAATTGAACTCCCTGCCTTCCCCCTTAAAGATATGCTGCGTATCTGTTCAAATGAGCACTTACAGATCTAGTATATTCTGTTTTTCAGCTCTTCTGCTCTATTGTTTGACAATAGCAGAATTTATACCAGTTTCCTCTTGATAGACACTTAGGTTGTCTCCAAAATTCTGTTTCCATAAATAATTTTGCAAAAAAAATAATTTCGCAATGAACATCGTTGGCTATATTGATGCTCAGTTATCTTTGGGAATTTGTGCAACTGTATCTGAAGAATAGATTCCTGGGAGTAGCATTTATTCACCAAAGAGTATGCCTGCACATTTTTTGACAGGTACCCACCTCACCACCCGAGAAATGCAATTGATTTATACCTTTAAACTTTCAACGACAGTGCGAGAGTGGGAGGGGGGATTTTAAAGGGTGTTTTAAAGCAGGCGCTGGATATGATTCAGCTGCTGTTTCAAAATGACAGGGCCTTGTTTTCCTCATTTCCCCCAACTTCACCCCCTTCATATTTCAGCATGGGCCAGACAAATGCAACAATCCTGCTCTAATTTGAAAAATGCCAAATAAATCACTAGGTTTTCCTTTTTAGGGACACTGCCTTAATTGTTTGGGTGTCGTAATTATACCGAGGGGACTTTGGTGCAGGTGATCCATTTCCTCAGAAATGTTCAATTAAAGTGTGGGGAAGGAAGGACATTTCCAATTTCCTTCTGGAGTGTGGAGGCACTGAATGCTTGAGGAAAGTGACAGCTTCCCATTTCTACCGAATCTGAAATACAGCCCCAAAGAGCGGCGCTCAGAGCCCTGGCCTTGACTGTTGCCCTCCACGAGTGGAAATCCATCCGTCTTGGCTGGAAGCCCTTGGGGTTCAACTCTGGCATTTTCCCCTGGGACGCCTCACGTGCTTGGTAGATGATGAGTGGCCGCATGTCTCTCTTTCTTTCCAAGTTATAGGAGGCCTCCTCTTCCCCTTTCCTCTTCCTATGGAGCCCTGGTGGTGTAGTGGGTTATGCCCTGGACTGCTCACCACAAGGTCAGCACTTCAAAATCACCAGCTTCTCCTCAGAAGAAAGAGGAGGCTTTCTACTGTCAATGAGTTACAGTGTTGGAAACCCACTGGGGCCATTCCACCCTGTTTTATAGGGTTGCTATGAGTTGGCAGCAACTCGCTGGCAGTGAGTTTGAGTTTTTTTAATAGAAGGAGCTCTAATGGAGCCCTGGTGGTATAGTGGTTACTAATTGGGCTGCAATCTGCATGGTAAGCAGTTTGAAACCACCAGAAGCTCCTCAGGAGAAAGATTGGGCTTTCTACTCCCATAAACGGTTACAGTGTTGGAAATCTACAGGGGTTCGCTATGAGTCATCATTGACTCAGTGGCAGTGAGGGCTGGTGGTATAGTGTGTCACAAATTGAGCCACCAACCACAAGACCAGTGGTTGAAACCTGCCAGCCAATCTAGTGGAGAAAGATGAGGCTCTCTGCTTTAGGATTTAGACTTCAAATCTTGGAAAACCAAAGAGACAGAGCTACTCCCTATTGGGTCATTTTGAGTTGAAATCAACTTGGTGGCCTATTTCCTCTCTTTAAAATAGTTGAGGACTAGACAGTTTATGTATATAATAAATGTCCCTATTTTATGCATTGCCTAATAAAAATAATAAGCCCAGACAACAGTCATCGCCATATAACTGAATATATTTGCCCAGAAGGGTACTCAGGAGAAAAACTCGGTAATTATAATCAGCAAACTGCCCTTTGCTAACAGAATGTCTTTCTTAAAAGCTCCACAAAAATAATTCTGGGAAAAATAAAAAAGACATAATATGTGAAATGCCGAATGCAAACTAGACCACATGCCCTAATTAAGCGATGGAGGCCATTTCCAGATATTCAATAAAACGAGCTTCATTATGGCAGCTCGGGAGAAAGAGGGCTTGTTTATTTGGGAGGTGCAAATTCCAGAGGGTGCAAAAATCACAAGAAGACCAAGTTGTGAGCAAAAGAGGTGACAGGGAAGAGCAGATAAATGAAGTGTTGACGATACCTTTTTCTCATAGGACAAAATGGGGTCCTTGCAGACACGCAAAGTTCAGCCTTTTGGGTTCCCTTCCCCTTCCCCTTTAGTAAAACCAATCAGCTTAGATTGCATGCTTAAAGCCTTGATATAAGCCTTATTACATTGGAAAGTTTGCTAGCTGTCTACAAGATTCAAAGTGGACATCGGAACCTCGCTTCCACCTCTAGAGGCGGAGCTGGTAAGGAATCAGCCCAGAACAGCCTCGCTCTGTTATCTCTAATGGTTTAGCTATCCAGCCATCCATCTGTCTCTCTGTCCATCCACCCATCTGTCCATTTTTATTTTTACCTTCACATGTGACTGGAACTACAACAGACAACTGAATAAGGCATGCCTTGGTTAGTGGAGCTTGCATTTTAGTAATGAACAAGCATACATGTACGTATTAATTAGGAGTAAAGATTAAGTAGAAGGAGAAATTCTGCTAAGGAGATGTATGTGTGTGTTTGGTGTGTGTGTGTGTGTGTGTGTGTGTGTGTGTCTACATTTGCAACAGAAATGAGAATGAAGTTAGACAGAAAGCCTGGAAGCTATTTGAAGGCAGTGCAAAGGCCCTGGGGTGGGAATGGGCTTGGGATGTCCAGGAATAACAAGGAGACTCATTTGTCTGAGGTAGAATTCCCAAGGAGAAGCATAGGAGGTGTTGAGAGCAGAGGTACAGTGAGTGGCAGGGCCATGTACTCTGGGTTGCACAGGTACTGAGAATGACGGTGGGTTTTATTTCTCAAAGGTAAGCCAATAGAAGCTTTGATCATTCTAGTTGTTTGATCCTGATGGATGCTTTAAAATACACCCGTTGGCATTTTCTTTTTAATTAAGTGGTAATACTCTACATCTCGATTCTTGAGGTCGTTTCTGGGCTGTATGTATTTGTCAAAACCCATAGAAATGTACATCTGAAAAGTGTCAATGTTACTGTAAGTAAATTACAGCTCAGGCAGCCTGATGTTCACAATGCTCCCCATCACTGCAGTGCAGACGAGGGGGCGTCCACAACTAAAGCAAAGGGGCTGCTGTGCAAACTCCGTGAGGGTTTGGATGTAGGTGGCAGAGGATTTGGTGAGAAACAGCTGGGCCCAGGTGGGTCTATTTCTCAAGTGGAGTCATGGATACTTGATGGTCAGTTATAAAGAGATCCTTCACTCATCTCCCACTCATGGCACACTCAACAGATTCGATCACTATCAACGAGTTCCACCAGCCAGCATCGGGGAGCCATCTTTACGTGTGGTGGTCCTCTTTGACAGAGGCTTCTATCAATCCTCCTGGTCCAACCCATCACCAGCGTCTGCTGCCTCACTCTCCTTCCAAAACCAGGGTTGGGGTGACCCCGTCTTTATTGACCCCTTCCAGGGGTCCATCCAGCCACTCTTTGCCCGAAGAACCTCCGTGTTCTACTGCCTTGTCTCCTCAGGGATTCCGCTTCAATCCACTTCTGTTTCGAAGCTTCTATTGAACAAATAGTCACGCAGTCGCTACGATTTGCCCGCTGGGTTTGGAACCTGGGTCTCTATTAGAAGACGCTCGGATGGTGCCACATCGAAGTGCTTGGCTGCTAACTGAAAGGGGGCGCGTCAACCCCCCTCGGCTGCTCTGAGGGAGAAAGGCTGGTGATCTGGTTCCGTAAAGATGGCAGCCAGGAAAACTGTCACAAACCAACCAAACTCACCATCGGGCCGAGGCTCACTCATAATGACCCCACAGGACAGGGCAGAACTGCCTCTGTGGGTTTCTGAGATGGTAACTGGTGATGGCAGTAGAAAGCCGCATCTTCATCTTTCTCTGATGGAGCGGCTGGTGGTTTTGAACTGCTAACTTACAGAACGCAGCCTAATGCTTCACCACTATGCCACCAGGCCTCCAGAAAACTGTGTAGGGCTGTTCTGTAACACACAGGCTGACTCCGAGTCACAATCAATTGGATGGAACCAAACAATAACAGCAACAAGCCTCTTGGGCGAGAGCCCAGCACTGCCATCTTTAGAAGAGCCTCTTTCTATGGATTTATGGATTGAAAGTCAAAGTTCTCCTATTTGAATGCCTATAAAATGGCCTCCTGGGTGCAGTCAAGTCATGTTGGACCCAGAGCAACACCACGTGAGAAGTAGAATGGTCCCATAGCATTTTCCTGACTGTGAACTTCATCGAAGCAGGTCACCAGGTCTTTCTTCTGAAGATTCGCAGGGCAGCCTTGACCCTCCAACCTTTTGACCATTCCATTGCACGACCACGGCTGCTTCTAAAAGACTCGAGTGGCTTAAAATTATCTCTGCTAATAAGCCTCAGATTGCAGAGAATTCCAATGCGAGCGTAAAAGTATTTAAAGAGAAATCTATGCATCATTGGTGGATGGGACTGAAAATTAAGTTTCATGATTAATTAAGTAGTCAATGGTGCCCTCCTTATCTTTGGCGCCACTTCACACATGGCAGGCATTAAAACAAGAAAGGAAATAAATCAAACTCCGAATCAGACTTTGGAATTGCTCACCAATGAAGTATGCAACCAAGAAT